GGCTTATTTAGTAAGATGTTGTTAAGCAACCATAGATTAGTGTGATATATGAATCTAGTTTTCAGGTTGGTGATCCATGGGTCCTCTCTGGAAATCAACAGCTCTTTCACCATTTATTATTTCAACAGCACTTTTGGTATTTTTGCCCAATACAATGTTGTTTATTATATCAGCTCACACCCTAAATAAAATCTAACTTGACTAGGAAACAAAATACAATTGGACAAGTGTGGTACTGTTCAACATCTCCCTTCTATAAACTGCTGCACTGCAGATCTGTTGGACTTCAACTGCCAGAACTTCTCACTGATGATTTTAGAAGCAAAAGACCAGAATTTTAGGAGACAGCAAGATGTAGAAAGCTATTTGATACTGTAGGGCCCCGTATGTATAGAACATTATTAAGAATTAGGCTGAGCTTGTACAGGTAATGAATGAATTATATGTACATAATTTCTAAAGCTATATTAATTAGTCAAGAAATATTAATATGCAATAACATTCCAATAGTCATCACATTTGCCTTTAAGGAGTGACCAGAAATAGCAGTCTTGGCACTAAGTGTCACTCTAAGAGTAGGGTTTAACTAAAGAACCACTGGAGATGGTTCTTGAGATGATGACTCTGAAGTACTGTCACTAAAGTATGGTAAAGAAGACATGATAAGATGGCAAAATGATTAATGAAATAATTTCAGGGTTCGGATACAAGGCATAAAATACCTTCATTTCCTGAAAATTTTACCAGGCATAATAAACCTTAATCCCTACGAAGGAAAAAAATCATGAATGCATACCCAGAAAGAGATTAGCAACTAAAATGAAGGAATTCTGTTGTACCATTCAAATTAAAAGGACAGTGTCATATATTTTCATGCTCATGCATGCAAATTACTTTTAAAAAAAACCTTCCTTATAGGTAGCAAGTTAACAAGTTAGGGAGAAAAATGTAAAACAGAACACTTCAAGATTATACAAATTTGCAAAACTCTATTTTGCAAAAAAATATTTGTTAGCTGCTAACTAAACGTCTATCCCTTTGAGGTTCTGGCTTCCAGGACCTTGCTGCAAAATCCATGTGGCTTTTGTTATTCCATGTAGCATTTTCATGTATATTTCTCTATGGGTATACAACAGAAAGAGTGAATTATACCACTGATTTCCTTGGGGCTAGTAGATGTTTCCACCTCTAAAAGAAAAGCAGCCTAATTAAGGATTTCATGACTCGATTAATAAGTATGGTAGAGCCATTAACTACAATAGCTTTGTGACAGCAACATATTACATTAATTAATACTAGATAGAGCTGAAATTTTGGTTGCCAAGGTACCCTAGATATCACCTTAGGGAGCAGGAAAACCCCTCCTCTCTGAACTATAGCATAAAAAACTTACTAATGAGAAGATCAGCATAGAGAATGGAGTTTTACCCTTCCTTGAGGAATGACGACGTTAATGATGCCACAAACTCCACATGCAAAATGACTTATTAACACTGAGGTCTCTGACTTTTGTAAACAGCAGGCATCCAAAACTAATCTCTCTTTTCCTAGGTCAAGGATATAGAGAAGTACAGCCCAATCTTATTTAGCCAAGTATCCATTGGGGATTACTCTTAACTGCTGTAAATTTATATTGCACAGTTCTAATCTGATATCCAGTATGCTCTTACTTGGGAATAAATATGGGTGCACATTGTTTTACAGTGGCTGAAGATTGTGGGTTACACAAATTTAACACTATATTATGTGGGGGAGGGTGTTAATCTCTCAGATTTCTAATACCTATAATTATGATTTCAGAAGGACCATAGACATTCTATGAGTTTTTCCTGGAGACAAATCAAAATAGTAATTAACTATTACTGATTCAATGACACTTGTCTAACTAATTGTTTTGATTACTAGACGTATCTTTTTGCATTTATTTTTATAGTTGCCCTGCCTCAAGAAGTACTTTTATTTATCCTGAATCCTACTATTCAGATTCATTGGATAACCCTCAGTTATAATTTTACAGAAGTGCAACTTTTCCTTAGAGTCTAGATACCATTAATTTGTTGGTGTTGTTCCTAATTTATATTAAAAAGGGATGGGCAAGCAATTTTTAAGTCTTCTGTAACAACACTTATCAAAAAGGAAAATTCTGCCACCAGTTTTAATGATAGTACTACCTTAGGGAGCATGATCAAAATTACAGAGATACTGATTATGAAAAAAATCTAAACAGTGAGCTCCAGTAGGAGAAATGGAAATCTTGACTGCCATTTGTCTGCTGTTTACTCAGAATTAGAAAGTAGTTTACTTTAAATTTCATACCTTTGAATTTCATTATCTGAGTCTGCAAAGTGAAATTAGGGCAATCCTGCCTGCATGCCTGACTCTTTGGGGAAGAAAGTTCTAATGGTGTACCAAAACCAAAAGAAAAAATGCATGTCAAGTATATATCGATTATGTCAAGCGTAGGAAAAACAAACGATCACCTTCCATTAGTGGACTACAACAGAGATAAATTGTATCTAGGTTGCCCAAAAGAAAGCATCATGAGCACACCAGCCTCATGATATACATTTCCAACCCTACACAAGACCAAGCAAACAGACAAAACCCTAAGCTGGCCATACCTATAAAATCATCAAGGGTCCTGTTGCATCCAACTGGCCAGGTGAGACCTTGGGTTTCAAACAGATCACAGTGAATAAGAGGCTTAGGGAATCCAAAGTTAGATGGAAAATCTGCAGGTCTCTTTCCCTGTAATGCAAATCCATTTACAACCAGGTCCTCCTTACAGGTAATCTCATTAACAGCCTTGGTATTCCTACACTGTCTGAAATCATCATTATCTCTATATTCCTGTCGTCGCCCCCTCATCACATGGCTAGCACTCTGGCATTTAGCATGGAGACCAGGCAGTCTCTCCAACCTGCCTGCAATCCTGCCAATTTATCTGAGGTGGGCTTCACTTGTCTAACCACAAAGGGGATAATGGCATGTTAGCTTCTCTTACCACTTCTGATTTATCAAATAGCTCAATGGCATCCTAAGGCAGAAGTGGAAAAAATTGTTTTGAACAGCACACTGAAGAAACAGCCTACGGGAGTCAGTGGCAAAATGCTCTATTTCAGGAGGTGGAAGGTTAATGGCAATGTTATTTATACCTTAAGGAAACCATAACCCTCAAAATGCTCAGGAGGTGCTCAGGCCCGAAGGACATCCTGTTAAACAACACATGGGTAGGAGGTGTGGGCAGTGAT